TCTCCTTTAAACATGATCCCGTCTATCAGTGAGATCTCATCCCTGTGGTTCCAAAACTCCTGAATGTCAGGCGGACATTGAGACCGTTTATCAGGCCATCCACTCAATGTGGTCCGTCTCAGGCTGTTGAGCTGAGGATCTTGGGCTGTTTCGTTTCTTATCTCTGAGAGTCTCTGATCACTGACAGGCATGTTGCTGAGGACTGAGTGGATCTGCGCATCCATCCCGTCACATAGTGATTTGTCGTGAAACTCTATGGATTTCCGGGAGAGCGTGTCGGCTACCGGGATGTCTTTCCCTGGCTTGTGGATGATGCTGATGTCGTACTTTTGCAGCTGTATTATCATCCTCTGTAGCCGTGGTGGTGCTGATGCTAGTGGTTTTTTGAGTATGGACTCGAGTGGCTTGTGGTCCGACTCAATGGTCACATGTCGACCGTACATGTACTCGTGGAACCGCTTGCAACCAAAGAGAACAGCATACAGCTCTTTTTCTATTTGGGCATAGTTCTGCTCAGTGCTGTTAAGTGACTTGGATGCGTAGGCAACTGGCTTGCCGTCCTGCAGCATCACAGTCGTAGCGCTTTCTTGGGGTCGAAGAAGGAGAGAACTGGGCCTGGTTCTTTAGTGATCAGCTCCTTCATTCGTTGAAAGGATCTGTCATGGTTCTTGTCCCATACAAACTCACTGTCCTGCTTTAACAGCTGGCGGAGCGGTGCGTTTATCTCTGACAGGTGTGGGGCAAATCTTGCTAAATAATTAACCATCCCCAGCACTGTTTCCAATTCCGCCCTGTTCTGTGGGGGCGCCATGTCTTGGACTGCTTTTACTTTTTGTGGATTTGGTTTCAGCCCTTCGTGTGACAATGTGTGACCGAAGTAACTGACCTCTTTGACGCAGATGGTGCACTTGTCAGGGTTCAGTTTTACACCTCTCTCTCTGCTGCGCTGCAGCATGGCCCTCAGGTTGTCGTCATGCTCCTGTTTGGTTTCTCCGAAGACCAGTACGTCGTCCACAATGGCTGCCACGCCCCTCAGGCCCTCGTAGGTCTCGTCCACGCGTCGCTGGAACTCATCCTGAGCTGAGATTATGCCGAATGGCAACCTGAGGAAGCGGTACCTGCCAAACACAGTATTAAATGTGGTTAACAGAGATGATTCGTGGCTTAGCTTAATGGCCCAGTAGCCTGATCTGGCGTCCAAAACACTGAAATACTTGGCCCCAGCAAGTTTTGTGGTGACATCCTCTAAGGTGGGTAGAGGGTAATGGGGTCTTTGTATAGCCTTGTTGAGGGGTCTGGGGTCCAGACATACTCTGAGTCTGCCCGTCTTGGGTTTTTCCACGACAACAAGTGCATTCACCCAGTCCGTAGGATCTGTGACCTTGCATATGATTTGGTTCCTTTCCATGTTGTCGAGCTCGTCTTTGAGTCGGGCTCGCAGAGCGATGGGAATCCGACGAGGTGGGCTGACTGTGGGTGCAACGTCTGGATTTACATGGAAACTGCATTCACCAGGAAATTCTCCTATCCCTTTGAATACGTCTGCATATTCGTCTAGTATTGCCTGTGAACTGTTGGTTGTCTTGCCTCTTTCCTCCGTCACTGCCATCACAATCCTTACCAGGTTAAGGTCACGGCAAGCTTTCATTGCTAATACAGGTGGGGCGCTTGTGTTAACAACATGGAATTCCAACGTGCGGGTTTTGTCTTTATGTTTGCATTTTAGCTGGCATTTCCCTTCCATGCTGAGTGAGTGTCCCCCGTAATCTGTGAGCTTGTGTGTGACAGGCTTCAGTGTCACATGTGGGAAGAGTGTCTGGAACATGTTGGCTGGAATTGTGTTTGCTTGCGCCCCAGTGTCAACTTTAAACCTCACTGTCTGTGGGGGGGGAACCAAGCTGCATGTCTGCATATGCTTGCTCATCCTTTCTTCCTTCATTTTCTATGGTGATGCTATCAATGTAGAAACAGTCTTGGTCCTCATCTGTGTCTATAGTTGACATTTCTATGTTCTCTCTCACAGTGTGTACTGATTTGAGGTGGGCTTTTGTCTGCGGAGGGAGTCTTGACCTGCATGCTCTCGCAAAATGGTTCATTTTCTTGCATTTTGCACATTGCTTCCCTTTTGCTGGGCAGGTGTCTTTATTACTGTGTTGTCCGGCACAATAGCTGCACGTTTTTAGTGTTGCATTAGCGTGTTCTTTTGGTCTCACGCTTCTTGTTTGATATTCTTGTCTGTGCGATTTCCTGCCGATGGCGTGCACAGTTTCTTGGCCCCTGGAGTGACCCATAGTTTTTAGCTGTTGCTTTGCTAGCTCGTGTGATCGTGCTATATCTATAGCTTTCTCTAGCGTGAGCTCTGCGCCTTGGCTGAGTAGCTTTTCTCGGACGTGTGGCGAGTTAGTGGCAAATACAATGCGATCCCTGACAATTTCATCTGTATTTGGGTACCCACAGTCTTTAGCAAGTAGTTTCAGTTCCGTAATAAACTGTTCAAATGTCTCATTTTCACCCTGCATCTTTTCATGAAACTTATATCGGGCGTAGATTGGGTTAGCTTTCGGTATGACGTAATCAGTGTACTTATCGTAGTACGTCTGAAGCTTTCGGGAGTCGTCTGCGGTGAGCGTCCACGTGTTGTAGACGTCCCGTCCTTTCTCACCGACCCATAGAAGAAGGTAGCTGCATTTGTCTGCCTCCTCCTTCCCCCGAAGAGGACCAGCGAACATTAGCTCGGCGTGCTGCTTGAAACGCCGCCATGTCTCGGGCAGGTTGCTGGAGTCCCAATCCATACGCGGTGTGGGAACGCCGTAAGCCTCCATGTCTGCGCTGTCCGACGGCGAGGGATTGCGTAGAATCCGCTACTCTGACACCATGTGTTGTTTTTGTATGTATACCGAGCTTCTTACTAACTGCACGCACACACCAAACTCTGCTCCGATTCCACTTTATTTCGTATTCTTTTTTCTTGCCCCTGAAGCTTCTTGCTCGCGAGTGAATTACACACATTGCAGCAACACAGTGCCATCTAGTGGCTGATACACACATGAGTCAACATGTTACACGGTGTACATTTTAGGACATCGTCAGGTATCAGACAAAAAATTGTCAGGTGTCAGAAAAAAAATTGTCAGGTGTCAGAACACAAGGTACCAGAGAGAAAATCTTCCTGCAGGTGGCGCTGTTGTCATGTCCCACCCGAATTGATTTCCAAATACGTCATCAACGTGTGACCGTGGGAGAGCGTAAGGTCATTGACCTCACCGGAGTTTTACCGTGGTTCAGGCTCCTAACGACACAAGGTAAGTTTAACTTTTTCTCCCCTTTGTTCATATTTTTGCCACAGTTGTGTTATATTAAGTTGCAGTTATGTTGTGAAAGTTACATATCAGAGACGGAAAGCCAGTTTTGTACGGAACCAAATCAGTACTATTTTTGTCTGGCTAATTCATTCTAGCTAGCGACAGTGGTGAAACGTGATTCAAATTTAAACTGTTCAGTAATTGTTTTGTATACATTTCAGCAAATGGACAAGCTGAAAGCTTACGAGCAGTTGCATTTGAATACTAATCCTATTTGAAGTAATACATTTCCAGTGGTAGACATGTTAGATTGTCACACCTGGCTATGCATTGTTTTATTAATATTATATATTGTCTTGATAGCTTGAAGGGGATGATGCCGGTTTCATATCACTGGACTTATCCATGGCAGTAGAGTACATCCATGCACAGAGAATCATTCACCAGGATATAAAGCCAGCAAATGTCATGGTAAGCCATATTGTATTTTTCTTTTTCTCCACTTTGTTTTTGAAGATCAAAATAAAAATAGTATATTATTTATTTAACTTTATTCTCTTCAGTCTATTAAACACTACATTTGAACAATGAGACACTTTTCTGGCATATTCATATAAAGGATTTTTTTTTTAAAGTAAGAAGCCTTACATTGTTTCTTTAATAGTCCAATTTTTCTTTAATATGTTGGTTCTTGCACACCTACAAAATTCCCAAACATGTTGTAAGTTTAGGCTTTACAAACTGAAAGTTTCTATTCTTTTATTAGTCTGTACCACTTGCTTAAGTGGAATGGGGATTAAAAAATGCACAGGACTATAAAACCGGGTTGGATCATTAACCAATCTGTTAATTTTAATGTTGGGTATAATAAACAATCTCAGAATAAATCTGCAGTGATTGGGTGATCTGGGTGCTAAAAGCTTTGAGGGGTTTTTTTTTTTCCCCAATTATGAGCTGTGGTCTTTGGAATGACATTTTTGATAACATTTGTGAAATTTTAGACAACCTGGTAAGTTCTCATATGTATACCTTATAGGTTCACCACCCTTCTAAGAAGGCAGTCCTGACAGACTGGGGCATGGCAAACATAAGAGACACTGTGATGCTTCGTCAAGGGAGTAAGTTCACTGCCCAGGCTACTGGTCCAGCTGGTGGCACATATCTTTACATGGCCCCTGAATGCATACTGATGTTTGAAGAGGCCTCGTTCCAGACAGACATGTGGTCCCTCGGAGCCACATATCTGGAGATCCTGACGGGTTCCGCTCCGTGGATGGTTAAAAAACAAAGAGAACTGGCTGCACTAATGGCCACCAAAACCCCACCACATGCCCTATCACATCTCAGTGACAAAAACAGTTTTCTTGGTGGTTTGGTGAGCTATGACCCAGACTCAAGGCCTTCCGCATCTGATGTTGTTAAGTTTCTCAAGTCAGGCCTTGATCTTACGAGCCGATATGGCTACAAGTGGTAATGTTGCTACAGTCTGCAGTTCAAAAGTCTTTCAATGTGAATTATGTTCTACATTATTGTTAACAAAAGTTGTGGTAAATGAAACACTGAATCATTATGAAAGATGGCACCTTGTCAATTGTATTTCAACATTTTATTGTACATTTTGTTGGTCAGACAGTTTTCAAATTACCTGTTGATTTTAAACAAGGATAAATAAATGTTAACAAACACTGTTGTATGATTTTATTGGTCATTGGAAATGTTTACTGGTGCACCTTCCATCCTCTCTCTATTCAGAAAGATGTATATGTCATTTGCCTCGGCAAACGTAGAAAGTGTAGGAACTGCATTTCTGTTCATGGCAGTTGTGAGCTCTTGGACTAGCATGAGGTATGCAGCAAGGCAACCATCAGGTGTGCAGGGAAACTGGCTGTTTTCTAAAATGTTCTGGCACATGTCTCTGAATTCCTGGTTTGCTACCAGTGAAGGCTCTTCCCTCTCACAGATTAATTGCTTGGCATAGTCTAAAAGGTCTGGGTCAACAATGTGCAGCACATTGCCATATCCTGCGAATGAAAGACAATATTGAAAAGATGTTCACTTTGAATGTTAAAAATAAATGAATAATGACAAAGCTGTTCTAGAACCTGTATAAGAAGCAGTCAGTGTTTACAGATGTTATTACAGAAACTTAAAGATGGAAATATCACTCAAACATTTAGATAAATTTTTAGTTAAAGGTGTCAATATGAAGCCATTTTAGTATTGACAGTAGAAATTCAGAAATCTCTTATTGTACTACAAGTAGGCTTCTTCGGAAGACACAAAAGAGAAAGCACATTATAACAGTTTTACGCTCATTACACTGGCTTCCAGTATATTTTAGAAAATTCATTTAAAAATTTTAGTAATGACTTTCAATGCTCCGAATCGTGAAGCTCCTGCCTTAATTTCTGATCTTATAGAACCCCACGCTCCCTCTCCCAGCCTGTGATCATCTAATCAATGGCTGTTAGTAGTCCCACCAGAAGACCAGAGGCAAGAGATCTTCCAAAGCGGTGGCTCCCAGGTCATGGAATGCTCTGCCTCCATCATTACGTTTCCTTGATTGCATTTATTCTGTATGTTCGATTGTGCTGTTTTATGTTTATCTGTTTTATATTATTGTGAAGCCACTTTGTGGTTTTTATCCTGTGAAGAGTGCTATATCAAAGTAAAAGTAAACTAATGAAAGTTAAAAAAACAAACAAAAAAATAAAACCCCACAGGCTTTCAAATGACATACCAGGAGGTGGTGAGGTAAACAGAAGGTCGGGTTTCCCAAATGGACCAGGTGCATTGCGTTGCTTGCGGATGTCATGGGTGTTCCAAACTGTTTGCTCCGTTTTTAAGTCTCTTTGAAGCTGTGGCAAGTGTGAGTACTGCAAGCAGTTGCTATGAAAAAGGAGAATTAAAAAATTAATATGTTCATCTGCTTCTTTGAGGTAGAATAAGTAAAAGCTAAATTTTAATCAGTACTCAAAAAACAAAGGCATTCCTAGACCACATACTTTCATACTGCTGCTTGATTATTTTTCATGTCTAAAAATATTGACTTACATGTGCACAGGATTGTCCAGTTCAAGGATCCCAGACTCCATCATGGCCTACGCATGTTTTTTTGAAAAAGACATAAGTTGTGAAGGTGAGAATTTCATTAGTGAAAAGGTACAGATGTACATAAACACAGATTCTGGCCTTGTGTTTTCAGATAAACTAATCCATCGTATGTTTAACGAAATTTGGATGGCTACTCTTTGTTAATAGGTTTTACAGGTGAAAGATTTGCTTTACCTCAAATGGTGTCAGCCATTTCTTAATCCATGTCCGCTTTAAAATACTGTTGAAACATTCAGCTCTCTAAACAACAGAAACATGACATTATCAGTTTTGTTGTCAGGTTGTTACTTTAGAAATAGTCATTTACCAGCTTAAAGACATACCTGGTTGTGCACTGATGTCCCCATTCTGAAGCACCTCCATGCCTGATTCCCAAGATCTCGCATGTGAAATGCCATCTGCATTTGACCCACAACAAGGTTCTCCTTTCCTCTGTCCCCCGAATCATTTGAGGACAGCCTAAAGACACAAACTGAAGATAATTAGTGAATGATGAAAAAATAAATTTATTAACAAAATGTAATCTTTTTTAAACCCCCATTTTTTAGTATATTGCATACCACCCTGTTCTTGAACAGCCTCAAAGAAGTATCTGGCCACAAAGTTTTGCTTGCGGTTGGATGTGCCCACCTTTAGCCATAGAACCTTCCTGGAAAATCTGAAAAGAAAGAAACAGAAAAGTGGCCACTTGTACATATGATTTAATCATGTTTTGGCACTATGTTTGGTTTTTGTTACATTCCCCAAGAGTATGCTGGTTTTCCATTGTATTATGTCTAGGCGTTGTTTCTGGTTCCTCCGGCCATTTTGACTGCCATAGTTGTGTAGGCTTACATGCCTTTGGAATTGAATGTGACTCTTGACTGTGTTCAGACTGACGCGAGGGGAGAGCTGCCTTTTGTTTTGTAATCCCTTGTATTCTCCTGTTTATGTGTTGGTTAGGTAGGTTATCGTAAATTGTACATTTTATTTTCTTTGGAGTTAAATTCTGTTTACTTTATATCAGGGATGTTTTGTTTGTTGTGTTGGTCTTGGCCCTCCCTGAAATTAACTGCCAGTCTGAAATGGAACTTTAAGACTAGCAGGAAATAAGCCTTTTAAAAACCGCCTCCTTCACTATTCATACTTTATCTTGGTCCCTTAGACCAGGCTTGGCCAAATCCAGACCTCGAGGGCCAGTGTCCTGCATGTTTTAGATATCACCCTGGGTAAACACACTTGAATAAAATGATTAGTTCATTACCAGGCCTCTGGAGAACTACAAAACATGTTGTGAGGGTAATTTAGCCATTTGAATCAGCTGTGGATCAAGGACACATCTAAAACCTGCAGGACACCGGCCCTCGAGGCCTGGACTTGCCATCCCTGCCCTAGACTACTCAGGAGAGATAACACCTCAGTTTACCGCACATCCTTATCTTGAAGCAACTTTGTACTATCACTGAATATAATAAATTAAGTAGCGAATGCCATATTCAAACCTACCCATCAATCCCCAAATGTATCTACATTCCAAAGAACTTCAGTTTATCATTGCCTATATGAAACAACAAATAATAATTACAATTTGTTTCAACAGAAGTACCATCAAAACATGTTTGGAAGGTTAATTGAAAAGATAAAATAAATACCATCAATGTGCCGTGTGTCATTTGGACCACGGCTGATGTAATTCCGACAGGGAATTTTCTTCTTTCCAGGAGATCTCCTCTGAAGACCACTTGCATCCATATACCTCATTATATTAGCAACATCGTCTCTACAGTAACAATAGATTTACTCTGAGCTCAACAGTAAAACAAGAGAACACTTGATCATATACACACTATTTAACCAACCTGTAACAAGGCTGCACTCCTCTGACATCCCTTACCCGCTTTACCATTGCCCTGATTCCTTGTTCAGGAGACCACTGTTTCATCTCACTCTAAAAAGCAAACAAACAGACAATTGAATGTTTTTTTTTTTTAAATCACTACAGAAAATAACATTTATTGTATCTACAATAGCTCATGACACAGACTTCAGGAAAATATATATTTTTTGCACTGATGTTTTAACGCTTACCTCCACAGCTTTGTGGATTTCAGTAAAAGGTCGTTGGGGGCATATTCGCTTCAACCCTAGAAGTTTTAAAACTCATCTCAGATGCCTCTCACTGTTAAAAGACAACACAGACTTACATTATATTAAATGCAAACTGCATGTTTTGTCATTTTAGAGAGTTGTCACGGAAACTGTTGAAATGCAGACTTACCTTATTTTATGCCCATATGAATTCAGTGCACAGCTGATTTCCTTTTGTTTTAAGCCTTTGTTGAACAATGTTATTATCATCATATCTTGAAAGGTTAAGTGTAACAACAACAGTCTAATTGATCACCCACCTCTTACACTGAACATAAGTAATTAACCAGTAAAGTACTAAATCTTTTTATGTGGCAATTACACTAAAAGCATCGTCTATTCAGTGCCCACAAATAAAACATGTGTAGCAAAAAATACACTTCTTTGATATGAAAGAGGTGAACAGTAGTTAATAAATAAGTTGTACTTTAGTCATTTATTTTTAATGCTCTTTTTTTAATTAAAAAAAAAAAGTATTTTTGGTACAGTCATGGGAACCAGCCAGAGTCGGATACTCCTTTCATCATCGTCAGATGACATATTGCAGCAAAGTCTAAAAACAACAACAGAAAAAAACATATCGGGATCAAAAAATATCCCGACAGCAGCAATATAGAAAAGAGAAATAAAGAAAAAGAGCGACAGAAAGGATGCAGGCTGCTCGTGAGCTTTCAGCTTGTCCATTTGCTGAAATGTATACAAAACAATTACTGAACAGTTTAAATTTGAATCACGTTTCACCACTGTCGCTAGCTAGAATGAATTAGCCAGACAAAAATAGTACTGATTTGGTTTCGTACAAAACTGGCTTTCCGTCTCTGATATGTAACTTTCACAACATAACTGCAACTTAATATAACACAACTGTGGCAAAAATATGAACAAAAGGGAGAAAAAGTTAAACTTACCTTGTGTCGTTAGGAGCCTGAACCACGGTAAAACTCCGGTGAGGTCAATGACCTTACGCTCTCCCACGGTCACACGTAGATGACATATTTGGAAATCAATTCGGGTGGGACATGACAACAGCGCCACCTGCAGGAAGATTTTCTCTCTGGTACCTTGTGTTCTGACACCTGACAATTTTTTTTCTGACACCTGACAACTTTTTTGTCTGACACCTGACAATTTTTTTTCTGACACCTGACAATTTTTTTCTGACACCTGACAATTTTTTTTCTGACACCTGACATTTTTTTTTCTGACACCTGACAATTTTTTTTCTCACACCTGACAATTTTTTTTTCTGATACCTGACAATTTTTTTTCTGATACCTGACAATTTTTTTTCTGACACCTGACAATTTTTTTCTGACACCTGACAACTTTTTTTCTGACACCTGACAATTTTTTTCTGACACCTGACAATTTTTTTTCTGACACCTGACAATTTTTTTCTGATACCTGACTTTTTTTTTTTTTGACACTGACACCTGACAATTTTTTTTCTGATACCTGACTTTTTTTTTTTTTGACAACTGACACCTGACAATTTTTTTCTGATACCTGACTTTTTTTTTTTTGACAACTGACACCTGACAATTTTTTTTCTGATACCTGACTTTTTTTTTTTTGACAACTGACACCTGACAATTTTTTTTCTGACACCTGACAATTTTTTTTCTGATACCTGACAATTTTTTTTTTGACAACTGACACCTGACAATTTTTTTTCTGATACCTGACAATTTTTTTTTTTGACAACTGACACCTGACAATTTTTTTTCTGATACCTGACTTTTTTTTTTTTTTGGACAACTGACACCTGACAATTTTTTGTCTGATACCTGACGATGTCCTAAAATGTACACCGTACACTGGACCTTCTCTGCACTCCAATTAGGTTTGTCACTCAACTACTGTGAGTGGGATTAGGGGAAAGACAGAACAGGCAGAGGGAGGTGAGGAGAGAAGGGGAGTCAGAGAGGGATAGAGGAGAGTTAGAGAGAGAGGTGGGTTGGAGAAGCTTTTAAAAATATATAGAGAAAACACAAATTTGAGTCAGGGCAACAGAGAAGGAGAAGGAGAGAAAAGGGAAAGGAGAGGCAGAAAATAATAGTGAGTGCAAGCAAGGGGCTACAAGCGAACAGCTGGATTTGGCCTGGAGGACTTCTGAATAATGTGGTTCCATTAAAGCAGGATTCATAAACTCACTACCCTCCCTTCTCCTCCCCTCACCTCTCTGCCTATTTTCTCTGTTTTATCCCTTTACTCTAATATTCCCATAACATACATAGGCGATGGTTTTGCATTTTGTCTTCAACAGATTTATTGCTAGTCAAACCACACTTGGGCAATAATCCACAATGCTGTCTTATACCCTAGCTATTAGCAATGTATAGTAAAAAAAGGACAAAAGGGTAAATGTTTCCTATGAAGATGTACAGTTCTGCTGGGCTTTGGGCAGCCCTAGGTACAGTAATACTGCATGAATATTTGATATCTCAGATGTTGTGCGTATATCACTGTATGTTGATAATGTCGTTGTTACTAAGACCAGGGAGCAACAGAAAATCAGCAGGAAGAAGTATGCTGGTAGTTGTCAGACTGTTTGAATTCATGCTGCTAACCCAGTGCTGAACTTTGACCTGGTCGCAATGCACAGCTGCTCACTTTAGTAGAGAAATACTTTATTTAAAAGAAATCAGAGCACTGACATGCAATAGCTCTACATTTAACAGGTCTGGAGATTACAATGGTTTATATGAAGCATGCATTTAAGTATGCTATGCATACACCAACAGTGCACCATAAACACTATAAAGGAATAAAATCACAATAACTTTAAAAAACAACAACAACAAAAAAAACAGAACCTCGGTGTGTACTTAAAGAAGTCCTTTGGTCTCAATGGTAACACCTACTGTCATGGCCAAAAATTAACATACATTCATCATGGGCATAGATGTCATGATAATTTTAGGGTTTTATTTATTTAAAAAAATATTTTCAATGGTGAAAGCCCAAAATTGCATGAGATTTATGCCCATGATGACTGTATGTAAACATCTAACCACAACTGTATAAACTTGCATATTCTCAAAGACACAGGTAAAATGCAAAGTTTTAAACATGTTGTGGAGGTATAGTACAGACGACACAGGAGCTGTAACTTTCCATTCCGACTTTATTCACCTCCAAACTACACCTGGACACATGGCGCCAAAAAACAGCAGAACCCCTCCTCTTGACCTGGGTGTGAGTGGAGTCCCCTAGTGGGCCACCACAATGTAACCATGCAAACATTTACCAAGAATCAGCAAACACAGATTTCAAGGCTGATGGGAATTTTATTCATCTTGTGAGTATTTTGTTAGAATTAAAATTAGTGACGTTTTTTTTTCTTTGAGACATTTGCCTTTTATTTGATGGTGCAGCAGTGAAGAGTGGGCAAAGAGAAACGGAAAACATGCAGCAGAATGCCATAGGTAAATATTGAACGTGGCATTGCATTTCAGCCAAATGGAATATGGTTACCTGCTCAACCAGTGAGTTAAACTGGCACCCAAGAGCTAAGGTTTTATCTGATCAGGAAAATAGATGATAGTTCAGTGCATCACAGTTAGTTCATTATCTGATATCCATCATTTTTTGTAACACATTTCTCCACCTATATCGTGCTTCTACATCTCCTAGAAAGCATCACCAAAAATGTGTACTATACACTATTTGTACCAAGTTTCAGGACATTTAAGAAAAATCCAAAATGCCAACACCATGTTTGTGTTAAAGGTATTGCTAAAGTCAGCGTATACTAGAACATGTAGCAGATGTGGCATGTTTTAAACAAAAATGCAAATTTTATTGTGGTTGTCCAAAGTTGTTGAGACGTTTAATCCTGCAGAAGGGTGGACTGAGCAAGACTCTCAAAATGCTATCCGTAGAGAACATGACAGAAGAAATAGAGGAAACTCTAAGGCAAGGATACAGATAATACCACAGAACAACTTGAGCCCCAAAGAAAATGTTTTTCTTCATACACTACTTATTTCCACTTGCCCAGACTGCACTACCTTAAATTAAGGGAAAGTTCAACAAGGCAAGTCTGTGCAATAATTTGAAACTTTAAGAAATATTGAGGCATGACCCATTTACTGCTAGGAGGCCGTATGGTGACTTCAAACAATGTTGTATTTTTATTTGAGTTTGCTTTGTGGTCTGCTTCATTGCCTGCAACCTGTTTCTGGGACAGTGATTTACAAATCTCCCCTGAGAGACTGCAAGACTAAACAGACTTTTGTCATTTTTGATCTTGTATGTTTGATAATAGAGGTGAACAGGATGCAGTGTGGTTTTGTTGCTTGAAGTGTTTCAATCACTGGTTCTGGGTTTAAAGAGAAGCATCAGATGACCAAAACTGCTAAGAACATGTAAAACAGGGCAAATCTGTTGCAACACGTTTTTTTTTCACTTGTTAAACAATTATATAGCTTTATTTTATCTACAGTCAAAGGAGCTTGCAAAGAAAAGTGTCTGGACTTCTTTAAGTTACTTGAAGACGTTTCACCTCTCATCCGAGAAGCTTCTTCAGTTCTAAGGTCAAATGGTGGGGAGTCCCAGATTTAAACCTAGTGGGAGTATCCCCCCACAGAGGGACAAAAGGACCCCCTGCTGATCCTCTAATCGCCTGAGCCAAGGTGTGAAACTGGGTGTGGGTCCCAATCAGCCAGGGTTTCGGGTGAGCTCATTGTGAAACCTGGCCCCACCTTATCATGCGAATTCCTGAGGTCGGATGGCCCAGGATGTGAGTGGGTGTTAAGGCGTCTGGGAAGGCATCTCAAAACTAGATTATAGATGGCAGACAGTTGGTGTCGTAAACCACCGCCTCTGTTCAAAGATGGTCACTCACAGTGGACATAGATGGCTTCTTTCACTCTTTCAAACCATCTGTCCTCTCTGTCCAAAATGTGAACATTGGCATCCTCGAAAGAGTGTCCTTTATCCTTAAGATGCAGATGGACAGCTGAGTTGTCCTGTGGAGGTGGCTCTTCTGTGTTGTGCCATGCTCTTGTGAAGTGGCTGTTTGGTTTCTCCAATGTAGAGGTCTGGGCATTCCTCGCTGCACTGCACAGCATACACACATTGTTAAGTCTGTGTTTTGGCGTTTTGTCTTTCGGGTTAAAGAAGTCCAGACGCTTTTCTTTGCAAGCTCCTTTGACTACGATGACCTGGATGACTGAGAACCTTCACAGACATTTTATCTACAAGTACATTAAATAAAATTCACAGGTTAAGGACTTGAAATAGGATTTTCTGAACAAGCTCTTTGAATGACATATGGGAGTCTCGATCGTTTCTGCCACGGTTTTCGTTCTCTCACATGAAAAATTGTAAGACTTTCCAGAGAACACCATGTGTCGTTTGAGCGAGCTGGTATTGTAACCTTGTAACCTTCTTACAGTCCTATAGGTCATCCCATAAATATTTGGGTATTTTTAGACAGTAGAAAAGAAACCACAGATACTGCAGATGATGTTTTATTTGAAAGATTTAAAAAAAATATATGTTAGTATTTCATTTCTTCTCACTAGTTATTTGTTTAAATCAAACTGACCTATTAGCAATAAAATGTGATGACAGCTAGTTCTCCGGAGTCTTGAAGAACTTCCAACGGTATTCTTTGCATGGTGGCTGCTTGATTTAGTTTCATTCTTTGTCAAGATAATCCAACACTGCTAATCAAGCTTTGAGGAGGCAAACCCATGACTGACCCATTGTTTCTTTTTTTGTTTGTGTTTTTTCTTTAATCCAGCACAGCAAATTCAAAAGTGTTAAATGTTTTGGTGTTAGTAGTCTTCTTGCAAAAGTAGAGTTAATTTACTCTAAGTAGAGACACATTCTTTTAATGTAACGCTCAGGTGTAAAATGATAGTAGTTAAAATTGAGTGTTAAAAATGAGTGTTTCTATTTCAAATCTGGAGGTGTTACAATGGAAACATTAACTCTTGACCTCTTAACTCT